TCTACCCTTTGGGGGTATCGTGTCCATTTGGATTCGCCCCTGATTTGAGCAGAGATATACATCTAATTACCACTGAGCCTTAGGTTGCGATAAGACTCCATTTTTGAGAATGAAGAGGAAATAAAATGTCTTTTGTTCTATTCCTTTTAAGGAAACCTCAATAGCAATAAACTTTAATCCAAGAGGATAGGTTACAAGATCAACTTATCAGAATTGGGTCTTGTTCTTCATTTTTGTTTAATGAGTAGCCTCCATATATAGTGCATGCAAGCATTCACGGACACATGACTAGAGAGTCTGGCAGGGTAATTTTGATTTATATTTGAAATTGAGATTGCATTAGTTCCTCGATTTGGCATTTTAGGGATAGCTCTAGTTTATCCACATACTTGAAAAGGGAGAGAAAGAAAAAAAAAGATAGAAAAAAGCACATAATTAGAAGGTCAAGTTGCATTAGTGCCTTGAGAAGTGTTTTAATGCAACAATATAATATTCTCTGAGAACTTTGAGCATAAGAGTCTGTGATTCAATCCACCTTTTCCTTTAGAAAGTGTTTTGATACATATTCACATTATAAAACAATTCTAATTTTTATATCTCTAGTCAACTGGTTTCCGTGTATTGCAACACAAAAGAAACGGTCTTGTTATTAGCAATTCTGTTCCGGGCATCTCATTATCTAAATGGGATATTAATACATAGGGGGAGGCAACTATGAATGTAGTTCTGCATTGGGAGCTGTCATCTGTCAAAGTTTTATTCTTGTGCTTATTTGGGAGGGTATTAGCTGCAAAAAAAGCCTGCTTTACTTGTGGCGATAATTCTTACTTGCAGTTATTTTTGTGCCTTATTTTGAGAGTTATTAGTGCAAAAAAGCCTGCTTTACTTGTGACGATAATTCTTACTTTCAGTTAAGGTTTAGGACACTCCCTATGATAAATTCTACTTCTAAGCTTTGTATTTTTGTCACAGTCTTTCAGGGCAATTCTTTGGAATGGAGATTGCTACTACAAGGTAGGCTTTCCTGATTATTATATTAGTGGTGACGGTAAATGTTTTATTTGAAAGTAATGTCTTTGATTTCTAACCTTCCAAGGCTTTTTCCCTTTTCCTTTTAATGAGGAGAGTTATGAAATAATCTGTAGAACTAAGCAACATTATCACTACTTTCCATTTTCCTTTATTCCTCTACACCTTATTTTTACAATTGCTCACTTCTCCTTATCATGCTTGTCTTTTTTTTGTGATTTTGTCAGGTGTTTTCTTGACAAGCAAGTGTCATGGTTTTCATTGAACCTCAGAGCATTAGACAGGGAAAATTCCTACAGACTTCCATATAATTTGACTGCCTGGAAATTAAGGACGAGTTATCAAAGGTTGGCTTATTTGAATTTAGATTCTCATAGAAAGCAACATATGAGCCATATTGTCTGGAATACACATTCCATGCCTGTTGGTTTGGAGGAATCCTCATCTCTTCAGTCTGAAGATCCTTTTAGTGAATATGAGCATGCTTCTGAAGATTCACCAGAGCAGCATCTTGCTAAACCACTAAGCAGTGATGAGGTAAACTTTCATGAACTAAGTCATGTTTTATAAAAATTTGAAAATGCACTATTTTTGTCTGTTCTGAATTAACAATGAACCCATTTCAAAACATGCTTTCTGGATAGTTGAGTAATTGAGCAAAAAGGGAGGGAGAAATAAAATGGACTGTGATGGACAAATAGAAGGTGCTGTTGTTGTTCATTTGGAGGCATTATGGCTTGTGGTGGAAATCTCTCCATAAATTTGGTGTGAATAGCGAAATGGTTTCAAAAAAATTCTGAAAATGGGCCTATGTATGACAAAAATAGAAAAGCCTTAAATTTGCATATTGAGGAGTTGAACTCACACCAATTGAAATTTGCATATAGCAAATATCCCATTTTCACAAAGTATATAAGGGGGAATGCTGTCAACTGTCCCTATTAATGTCTACAAGAGGTGAGGAAAATCTGGCTTTCATGTTCTGTGTAGTTTTAATCTAACTTTTTTTTAAGTTCCTATGGTGATGTTTTAGTTTAATCAGATATTTATGAAATCTTTTGAGGTATTCAATGTGGGTATCCAAAAGTAGAGTATCTAAGATATCACAAATCACTCGTTCTGTTTTAAAGATTTCTAATAATTATTAGGCATTGTCTTTAGTTGCAAGATTTTTCATCTTTAAAGTTTAAACTAGGTTAATTAATAAAACTCGAAGGTTGTTTATCTTTCTTAAATAGAATAACAATTTAAATGGGGAATTTTGAGGGTTAGCATGAGTTGTATCAATGTTTTGGCTTTTCTGAAATTTCTTATTTAAAATTACATGATTGGCTTTTGTTAATCATGCATGATTGAAGATAAGATTGATTTAGACCCATGACCAGCAACTATTCTCGTAGCTGGGATGTGCAGCTTTAGCTCATAATTATAGCATGAAACTTATGAGCAATTCCCACCAGTTTAATGATTACGGAGTCTTGTTAGTTCAGTTTGCTTGATGCTTTTGCTATAAGTTTGCTTTTTGCAAAAAATTAAATGTAAAACAAAAAAAAAAACAGAAGTAAAAAATGAATAGAAAACAAAAGGCAAAGCAAAAAGCAAATTTTAAAAGCATCAAGCAAATGGTGCTTTGGTGTTATCATAAATTATTTGGATGTAATCCTATTTATTTTTCAATTAAAGGTTTAAAGCTAATGTATATGCCATTCTACAACAGTTGAAATCTCTACTGGTTGACTCTGAGAGGACAAAGCTCACCAAAAAACTAAGTGAAGCTAACCAGCAAAACCGTTTCCTCAAACGACAGGTTTGTATGTGTTTATATTGAACCTTGTTTTTCCTTTTCTAAACATTACAAAGCTCTTAGCTTAGATGCTTTAAATGGTCTACTTGTTAGGATTAATGCTCTAATCCTACTCTTAGAAAATGATAATAAAACAAATACGAAGAAAAATTGTGCACAAAAAACATGAGAGATTTATAGTGATTCACTCTCAACATGAGAGCTACATCCACTTGTTGCTGCTGCTGCAGATTTTCTACTATGATGAAAGATGATTACGAATGACTAGTAACCCTTCATCTATATACTTATAATTAGGGCACCAAATTACATGTTCTCAAATTCTAAAATACCCTTGTTCTCTAATTCTAAATTACCCTTACTAATAATATTACATATAATATTATTTGTTCTCTCTGCCCTTATGCAGAGTTAATATGCAGATCGACCTTATTTGTTTCTTACTGGAAGATTTTTTTTCTTTCTCTTTTAATTTTCAAAACTTTTATGTTACTGGCTTGAAGAGAGTTGTGTTCATTTAAATGTAAATAGGAAGCATTGAGTCCAGCAATAATGGTCTGAAAAAAGTTTGGGAAAGACAAAGTAATGCGTAAAGCACTTCATATATAGAGTTTGTCATATTCTAAAATGCTGTTTTTTTCTTTCCAAACGAGGAGAATATGCCAAGAAATTTCATAATTTACATGATATCGCTTTTACAATGACAATGTTTAACAGTGTAAAACTACTTGCATTAGCAAACAAAGCCAAAATGAAATCTCTTTACCTCACATGGTGACTTGTCTATGTTGTCTACAGTTACATATCAAGGAGGATGCACTTGTTAACTTCAAAAGTGAACTTGCAGTCATGGAACTGGAAATTCAGGTTACTATTCACTTCATTTACTGTTGTTTTGTCATGCACACACACATAAATTATATAAATATAATCCATATATATATATTGCAATATGAAATCTTTTCCTTTTTTCTCATATTGTGGATTGATTAAAGCAAACCCACTGAAAGAATTGAGACTTTTCATCATGCCTTGTGTGAGAAACTAGTGATCAATCAGAGTATCCTTAAAGAACAACTTTTTTGGTCCCAAGCTTGATAACTTTTCTTGTCGATATATGCTTTTAGTCCTAGAAATTTGTGGTGAGTCTTTCTTGACTGTAGAAGAGCCATTTTTCCCACTGCTGGTGAGGCTGAATTTTTTTTTTTTTTGGATACTTTCCATCTAACCCAAGCATGCCAGACTTTGAAAATTGGTCCTTTTACAAAAGTCTTCAGGCAAAACCTTTACCTTTGATGGAGTACTGATGCTTTAGATTGAGCTGTATTTTTGTATAACCACCCCTTCGGTAATATTGAGAACAAATTGCCCTGGGCTCTGCCATAGTTCCATCAAATTTTTGGTGTTTATGTATGCAATATTGTTCATTCATTATGTCTGTGATTGTTCTGTTAGATGTGTGAAACAATTTAATAAGTGAATTGTTCCAACTGATGAAGTCATCTAAGTATATTTCTTGGCCAAAACCCTTTGAAGTTAAAGCTTCTGTAAATATATTTGCACATTGTTTTTCATTTACAGGCGTTAGTCTCACTGGCAGAAGAAATATCTAAAGCTGGCATTCCTGAAGGTTCTAGAAAAATTAATGGGAGATACATTCAGTCTCATCTTTATACACGCTTAGAAGGTAATGGTTCTCTACTTATTTTTTACCAACAAAATTCTTCAGTCTTATCGGACTTTTGATGTTTTGATAAATGCCTAAATGTTCAGGGCACAAGGTAATTTTCAATTTAAGTTTTATTCCCCAGCTAAAAAAGAAATGAATTGACAAATTTGGCAATGATGCACTGTTGAGGTTCAGGTTTCACTGCATTCGTTGGCAAACTTAATCTATCATTACTGAATTACAGAATTGGCTTTTTGTGCATGTATCTAGTAACTGGTAAACTTTTTAAGTTTGTGAGACACTGAATTATTCATATTTTCTGAAGAATTCTAGTTTTATTATTTTTTGGTGAATAGCTGTACACAAGAAATTGAAGGAACAAATAAATGATGTAGATACTGCACAGTCCAGGGAGTTTCCTTTGTTTTGGTGTGGCATGGCAGAGGTAAGTTCAAAAGAAAGTTCCTTCATATATCTAAGGTTTTTCTTTACAAATAATAAAGTTGAAATGTGGTCCTTTTTGGTGTTTCTCTATCACAGTCGTGCTTGGATATTATCGCAAAACCAGCAAGCTATTAGAAAAGAATAAGATATCAAAAGATTTAGAGAAACAAGCAAGGAAATTAATCCTGAGCCAGGATTTAGCTGTATAAAAGAGCCAGGAACTAATGGAGGGAATAAGAGAGATCAAGACACAGCAAAGGGGTTGGTATCCGGGTTCTGATACTGGGGAATAAAAGGGAAAGCTCTTTCTTGCATATTATCATTGCAAAAAATGAGCCTCCCTTGGTTATGTAAATAAAATAACCTTATATAGCATGCAAAACCTAGTGAGAATAACTTCTAGTGGAACCACAGGTCTGAACCTGGTGTTTGAACCACAACCCCTTAGAGCAGGGGTTTGTGCAGTTTCAGAGTTTGTGTCCTGGATTCTCTTACAGGGGATATATTTCTCTCATACCATAAAGAAGAAGACTCCAAGGCTTTAAAATAAGTTTAATCTTAATCTTCCAAAAATAACTTGAAAGCAAAGAATCATAAAAGAAAAAAAGGTTGTTATTCCCTTCAAAAGGGTTGACTTTAAAGGTTTGAATCCCCTCTTCCTCCATAGGCTTCCTCATATTTACCAAAAAGATAAATGATCTTTTAGTCCGTGGTCTTGGGCTCATGCCATGACCGTGTGGCCAAGCAGCCCTCACATAGGCCTGAGCTTTTTCACAAAATTATTTATATGATAAATTAATAATCTGGAAGGCTGAGCTCAAGCAAAAATTCTTTTGCCCAGGCATAGGTGCTGGAGTTGCAGGCTGCCCTGTGGATAGCAATAGTATTGTGAAGAGTAACCTTTTCTGTTGTAGATATCTCATGCATCATGTTGAAATATTTAGCATTATTATTTGATATTTACGATTAATTATCCAAAGGTTGATGCTCTTGCTGAATTTACTTAGAGTAAAATGGATGTCATGTATCCTTAGTTTATGTGTTAGTGATCATTGATTTTGTTGGTTGCTCTTTGCTAGTGTTGAAAAAGCTGTTTAAAGAATAAAGAACAGAAACAATCAACAGTGGAGTCAAATGCAAATTAGTTTAATGAGTGATTGTTTAATCTATATATACACTAAGAAAGGTTTTTTACTAGTACCATTAGAAACAAGGTGTCCTCGTAACACTTCCTGCCTGGACATTGTTTATGGATCATGGATTCGATTCTGTGATACCTTAAAATGAATTTTTTTTCATACTTAAGTAGCAAAATTTTTTTACTATAAAAGAAGTTGATCTTTTTCCTAAATTAATCATGCAGAGAAGCTATTGTTTGGTCCAATGACAAATGTTTTAGGTTGTAAAGTTCATCTGTTTAAGTTCTAGTCCTGATGGTAGTTATCTAATGCAGAATTCTGAAGGCTAGAGCTGTATTTAGATTTTATTTATTTATTTTTTTGAACGTCTTATTTAAATTACTCCTTTCACTCTTACTTTGCAGGACTAAATTTGTCCAGTATCCCCAATTAACAAATTGCATTCATTAATACTTAAATAGGTCAAACACGTCAATGTGAAAAATGACCAGATGTTGAAAGTAATAAAGTGCATCGCACTTTGAATATGTTGGAAGTTTGATGGAAGCACTGCATTAAAAGTAAAACCTAGCATCAGGAATATGCACATGGTATGCTCTTAGAAGAAAAGAAAAAGGAAAAATAAAATCACACTAGATATAACTTTATCCTTGGTGGTTTATCGGTATATTTATCGAATGATATTTGAAAATATTGCAGCTGCATAGTCTTGATTGATTATTATCTGTATTTATGATGCCTCCTTGATAATTCTTCTTCTAGAAATGATGTTTTTCTTGTGCATTCTTGGGTGACATATACCTTAACGTATGATGTTTAATTAAAATCTTTGATTTTTTGCCCATTTATTGAGAATATCTCTGTTTGGAATGCTTGTAGAGTGTACAAGTTATGGGCTCATTTGATGGATGGATTCAAGGAGAGCACTTATCACCAGAGTACACTGGTTCACTCACCAAGTTCTCAACCACATTATCGCTCAGACCTGGACGGTAAAATTCTGTGGACTTTGTGCACTGCTGTTACATCTTTTTCTAACTCTCAGTTTGACATTGTGAAGGTACGAAATCAAGTTCTTGGTGGATGGAGAGTGGCAGCTATCGCCAGAATACCCTACCGTCGGTGAGGGATTAATGAAAAATAACTTGCTAACTGTAGAGTAGCTTCGGTCCGTAAAGTTTCTAGTCATGCTAGATATTGAGAACTAACTAATTGCAGTGTTTTCCGATACGGGCTTTTTTCTTTTATCCTTCTCTCTAGCTTATGTACTTGTATTCACTGTATAGCTTTGATTCTAGCAGCTCAATAAAATAGAACAGAATTGCAAAGTTTGAGAAAAAAATCGTATATATGTGGAAGGTATGACCAGAATTTATGTAATTAGGTTTAATTGAAAACTTTCTGGATTAAATTTAATAATTTTAAACACTATATGACAAAATAATATAAAAAATAAAAAGACATGAAATTGATATTATTTAAAATTTATTTAAAATAGTATATAAATTTGGTAAAAATAAAAAATATATTTTGTATTTTATGTTTGGACAGGAATAAACATAAATTATAATATAATAATTTTTATATTTGATATGTATTTGATATAAAATAAATATAATATGGATACTCAGAATTTTAACTAATCACGGCTCATAAGGAAATTTTAACTTTAAATTGTTCCTGAGAGTTGTACTCCCTCGTCTAATCTGTCATTTTAGGAATCTAACCCAAGATTTTCTAGTTGGAATCTCAACTTGTAACCGTTAGGGTGTTCCCTCGGGGACATATCATTGCATCTTTCCAAACAATCTGTGGTCGTATTAGGTGATTGGTGAACAAGTCTACATCTTGGAAACACAATGAAGAAGGTATATTCTCGAATTAAATTCCAAGTAGCATTTGTAATTTAGCTTGAATGAACCAAAATTAAAAAGGATAGCATGTGCCAGTAGCTTTCTTTGCTTGATTCTTTTGAATGTTGATCATTGGGGTCAGAGGAATGGGCATCACAATAAATTTACCAGGGAGAATTTAATTATTCGGCTGAGTGAATTGAATTTCTAGTGTGCCAGGTTTTATAAAACATGGAGCGCCCTATGGTTAGACCATAGTTTACCAAAGAAATCTCTACAAGGACCCTGCTGCCTGTCATTTTCATTTGGAGTATACTTATTTAATATCAAAAGCATGCATTTAACGCTAATACCATTCTTTCTTTAATTGGAATGTTTTTACGCCCAAAATAATACTGGCCAATCGGAGGAATGCAGGTGACAAATGAGCATGACTTGGCGAAGGAAATGATGTGGCATTTTGATAAACTAATTAACGTTTCACTAGTGGCAGAATGGAAACATGTTAGCCACTGAAATTTTGGCAAACCAACTAACGTTTCATAAGTTCTTTTTCTTTCAAATGTTCAAACTTAAAGAAAAAAAAAAAAAAAAAAACATCGCTCTTTTTCTTTTCATATTCTCTTTGTTTCTTCTCAAAGGGAACAAGGACAAGCCTAGTCTTTCAACATAATCTCAAAAGCCCAAAAAGAAAAATTCCTTCGAGTTTCCTCCACTCAAAACATTTCAAGGAGATATGCCCAAAGCTTTGCTCATTTCGGTAAACTAAAATATATATAAAAAAAAACCCATTTTAACTAACTGCTTTACTTGCTGCATTCTCAAATATCACTTGTCCCCTTGTCTATAGAACTATTATATAAAAAAGCGACATAATCCAGTTAATTCATATAATAACTTTTAAAAGATGATATTTATTATATTTAAAATTTAAATATCAATACTTACAATTTTTTTATTTAGATTATAATCTCTTTTTGTAAAAAAAAAAAATACAAAATAATTTTAAAAATTAATATAAACCCGAATAATTTTAGTGCAAAATATATTTTTATTTTTAAAACTTACATCATTTACATATTATGTCATTATTTTGGTCTTCTCACTTTCAAATTTTCAATTTACAAAATTAAATTCAATTAATATATATGAGTTTAATTTAATTTTATGCTGATTTTATTTAGTTTATGGGATAATATTCAAATAATTAGTTCTTCAACTTTACTCAAAAATGAAAATGAATTCTTAATCATTTATTGCAGGAAATTAAGAATATGATTTTTATTTTATTTAATTTATTTGTTTGATTGGTTTTTCTTATTAATTTTTTCACAGATGTATTATGGAATACAGTTTATTGAAAGTTACTATTTAAATTAATCGCAATTTCCATTTGTGAATGTAATCTCATAAAAGATGGTCCTTTGTTTGTAACCCCAAAAAAATAACAAATGGCCCTTTCTTTAGCTAAGGAATGGTTCTGAAAAATCAATTTAAAACAAAAAAAACTATCAACCTCCTATTTTAATTATATGCACAGACTTTTCGTTAATTTAATTAACTCCTCAATTTTAACAGTTATTCTGATCAAACAATTAGTGTCAATAATTAGAACTGCTAAAAAGGGATAAATTAATTCAAAATATGTAGCTGTGTGTAACATAGAACTAAAAATCATATTCTTAATTTAGAAGAGTTAGTGCCTCTTGAGCTCATTACTTTTGTCACATTGATATTTAAAAAAAAAAAAATTCATAATTAGGTGTATGAACTTATATTCCATCAAACAATTATCCCAGTAAACTGATCGTACGTGGCAAGGCTGTCTAACTTAATGCATGTTTCCCTTAACTTCTTGGTACCTGAAAGATGAGCCATAAGAGCCTATCTCAACTAAAATTGTTATCAAATTCTCCCCACACCTCCAACCAATTAAACTAGTTCTACTGTTTTTTGAAATTGAAATATTTCTCTTTCATGATAATATTTTAAGAATTTTTCATAAAGGAACACCAACTTTCAATGACTAACATGTTTAAGATTCATATCTTGATGACAATAGGGGGTTAGGATGAGAAACCTTCAAAAAGCTTACCCATTTTGGTAATAAACTTTGTTTCCGTGCAAGAAAGAAACTAAATAATTATATTATTTAACACCGCCTTTTCCTCATACGTAGTAATAACGCATTTTCTATTCATATATTTTTTCATACATTTGAGAAATTTTAAGAGATTGAAGAAAAATGATTCGCTTCTTAAAATGTCAACCTTATTAATAGAGTAACAACGATTAACTAGGCTAATACACTGGTTCCATTGTTATATCTAAAATCAATATCAGTGGCTTTTTATTTTTTAAGCATCCAACCTTGTTAAAACCCAATTGTTTTTAGATGGAAAGATACAATTTAAAATATAAAATTATAACAATAAAAATTTAATAAGGTGCAAGATAATACTATTTTATTATACTCTTATTCTATGTATAAAAACAAAAAGCTACTATCCGATAAAATTTAAAAAAGGTAACAGGTACAAGTATAAGTTAGAATAAAACCAAAATTTTAATTTTGATATTATATTAAATATCTAACTTAAAATCAGTTAGCTTTAGATGAGGGAACCTAACTTTAATATAAAACCACAAAAAATCTAAGATTTAATAGATGGGGATAGCACCGCTATAAATTCAAACATATGAGAGAGAGAGAGAGAGAAGTCAAAAATTTTTGTGTCAAATTTAATTAATTAGACTTTTACTGATCAATATACCAATAATAAAAATTACAATTCTATGAGTCTATCTACGTGTGTTGGAGAAAAGTTTCAATCTTCATCATTGATATCTATTCTAGGATAATAATTCATATTAATTTATTACTAGCAATATTAGAAAAGTCCTTAAAAAGATAGGCTAAGAAACAAAATTTAAAATACAATTCAAATGACATTGAATTATTAATTTAATCTAGGCTTTGTATAGAATTTTTAATCTTTATCATTGATATCTATTCTAGGATAATAATTCATATTAATTTATTACTAGAAAACTATTATTAGAACAATGCTTATAAAAATAGGTTAAGAAACAAAAACTTAAAGATACAATTAATTGAGTCAACTTAGCGATCAATCATATGGTTTATTGATAGAGTTTTAGATTTTAAGTTCAGTAATCAAAATACAAATTTTAACAATTTTAAATATAAAAAAAAGCTTAATGATGAAAGTGTTATAATGTATCGATCCATAGACTTATAATTAGACATTGACTTAAAAGAGTCGTTATTATTTTTTTTATTTAAATATGATTGGTCATTTAATTAATCTGTTTCATTTTAAAGAGAAGTCTTAAGTTTAGCTCAAGTATCTTTAAAAATAGATTTAATATTTATGAAGCTAAAACTAAGTTCGGGAGTGTGGTTATATGCGAAGAAGATTATAGCACCTCACAACGTCCATTAAAAGATGATACCGGCTTGATTTCGTATTATCTATTGAGCTTTAAAAAACTTATAGATGGTTAATTACTGAAAATTATTCTTAATTGATTTCAATATTTTTGGTAAAATTAAAAAATCCTCTCACTTCAGAGTATATTAGAAAATTACTATTCTTTATAGATGTTCTGTCGTGGATTATTTAACATTAAAGAAATTTCAAGAAAAATTTGATACTTCAATTTTTTCTTAGATATCTTTTTTTATTATATTTAAAAAATTAATGCTTTATTAAGAAAAAAATTAATACTTTCAACTTTTTCTTTAAATACTTTTTTTTTTGAATTGGAAAGATTTTTATTTAAGAAAATTGGTACTTTCAACTTTTCCTTAAAATCTTTTTAAAAATTTTTTAAATTTAAGAAAAATTGATACTTCATCTTTTCCTTGATTTCATTATTTTTGAAGTATTCATTTTTTAGGCAAATTGATACTTCACTTTTTCTCAAAAAATTTTTTTTTGAAAATTTTATTTTTAAAGAAAATTTATACTTCAACTTTTCCTAAAAAATATTTTTTGAAATTTTTATCTTCAAAAAAATTAATACTTTCAATTTTTCCTAAAAAAACCATTTTTTGAATTTTTTATTTTCAAATAAAATTGATACTTCAACCTTTCCTAAAAGAAATCTCTTTTTTTGAATTTTTATTATTGTTAATTTTTTAAAAAAATCATTGGAAATTAAAAGAATATTTATTCACTAAATAAATAAATAAATAATATCAATTTAACCAATAAATAAATAAATAAGCAAAAAAAATAAATATATGAATAAAAACCTTAGTTCGGCTTGGCTAATGGAAAGTGGCACGGCTGCAAAAAAAAAAAAAAATTGGCTAGGTCACAGTTCAAGCTTAGTGGCTCCATCAGTTCAATGACAAGAACGGGTTTTTAAGTCAATGGAACCAATTGGGTCGGACCAAATGAAAACATGCAAATCTTTAGGAGGTTAAAGCTCAAAACGACGTTATTTTCCCACCTTTATAAAAAGCCAAATTTCCCTTTTTTTTTTCCTCAGATTACCCCAACTCTTTTTCTCTTTATCTTTTCCTTTTTTTCTCTCTTTAGGTGATTCCCAATAGTTGGTTTCTACAAAAATAATACTAGAATCTGGGATTCAAGTTGTAAATGCATCGAAAAAATTCATAGGTTTTTGGGCTGGTGTCGGGAACTGAAAATGGCTACCAATTTTTAAAGATGATCGTCAAAAACTAAAAAAATGATGTGAAAGTTGTCGAAAAATTTAAACTACATTGGAAAACTCAATCGGATTTTGGAATTTTTAAAATTTTTCAAAAAATAAAAACAAAAAAATCAAAAAAAAAAAAGGCTCCAAATCTATTTTCTATTTCCTAGGATCCTCCAAAACACCACTTAGGCTTTAATCAAATTCTTAAAACCACAAAAAAAATCCCTCTCCAAAAATAAAATTCTATAAAAAAACTACTCTAATCTTTTTGAAAAACTTTTTTATCAATCTATCTACTATGTTTTTGCTATCTCTTCCCCTTTTTCATTGTTCTGGGATTATTGAAGGTTTATATAGGGATTGAGTTCAAGATTAACTAACGATTTAAGAATTAAAATCCTTTCTTTTTTTAAAAAACCCTATCTTATTCATCTATTATCTCAATTTTTTTTAAATTATCACAGTTTCAGAATTCAAACTTCTTGTCTTAGAGTTTTCATCCGGACAAATTTTTTTATTTTTATTTATTTTTTATTCTTTTATTTTTATCCAATCTTTATCCAAACACAACAATAAAAGATGGTCAAGGATCCACCAAACCATAATCCATGGATCAAGATCCAAAACTTGACTTACAAATGGGTGTTTGCAATGAGCTAAAAATTGAATTATTAAATTAATCTAGGAGTTGTATAGAATTTTTAACCTTCATCATTGATATCTATTTTAGGATATTAAATTCTTTTTGATTTATTACAAAAAAACAATTATTTGAGCAATCCTTATTTAAAAAATAGGTTTAATAAACAAAATTTAAGGATACAACTCAAATGTGCCAATTGAGTCATGAGTTAAAGGCCACGCTTAAAACAAATTAAAAATTGAGAAAGGCATTGACATGAGCCAACCACATCAAAATACAATAAACTATAGAATATAAAACTTGAAAAAGAACCCATAAATTTCCCTTTGTACTTGGTATTCTTCTTCTAATTTGTCCGTACCCCATTTCTCTCTTCAAAACAACCCATTTTCTTCATCACTTCGCTCCAATTTCGCTCTTCAAATAATACATCTTGAATTTTTAGAAACCATCTATTTTCTTTGTTGCAAAGGGAATCTGAGTTTTTTATCACACGCTTTGTCCCTTTCTTCCAAACAAGGCACCTGGTTTATCGTTGCCTTGGCCTTGACCCTTAAACTCAAATCCACCTGACCTAACCCTTTTTCTCTCTCGAAAACTCTATTTTTTTTCTTTGAAAGATCAAAAGGAGGATGAAGAGGAATGTGCATGTGAAAATGATGCAGCAGATGAATAAGAAGAAGGGAAATGAAAACAAGAATACTGTGAAGAAAAGCAGGTTCTTGATTACGGTCAATGTTCTTGGTAGTGCAGGGCCTTTAAGATTCTTAGTCAATGAGGATGATCTTGTTGCTGCTGTTATTGATGTTGCCTTGAAATCTTATGCTCGTGAAGGTCGGCTTCCCGTTCTTGGTTTAGACCCCAACAAGTTTCTTCTCTACTGTGCCAACGCAGGGTCAGATGGTATGTTTACATGCCTTTGTTGTAGTTTTTTGTTTTGTTTTTTTAGATCGAACTTTAGATCTCAATTCTCTTAAAAAAATGGAATGGTATCCTTATTATGCTTAGATACACTTTTTTTTTTTTTAATATGGAACTTTGAATCTCAACAAAAACATAAAGATAACAATAACAATTGCTAACACCAAAGCAATTGTTCCTTATGATTGTGATATTTTAGTTTTTGTTTGTATTTTTGTTCTTCTTTTTATAGGATTTTTGAGATATACACAAAAATGTATTGGCAAGAAATTGTTATTTTGATTTAATAATGGTTTTTATATGGGTCCTTTTTATAATATTTTTGGGGTATTTTCCTTAGCTTTGAGTCCATGGGAAAAGATAGGATCTCAAGGAGGACGGAATTTTGTGTTATGCAAGAAGCAGGTGCATCCACAGATGACTGAAGCAAGGTCCGCGATGATAACCCATAAGGCAAGTGGTTGGAAAGCATGGCTCAACAAATCCTTAAGTTTCAAGATTTAATCTCGTTGAGATTAATTAATTAATTAGTCTTTCTCACTGTTTTAACCAAAAACAAACAGGGTCAGTTCAGTGTTAAAATTTTCATTAAAATCAAAATCTGTTCTGACATTGAATGCTATAATATGCTCTAATGCTTTTAGATGTGGGAAACATATTTAGCTACAAGGATACGTTTCCCTTTATTATAAACATTAAAATAATATGCCCCACGTTGTACTTCGGAAAGGAACGGCATCTTTCTTTTTAGCTTTTACATTCTTTTTTTTTTTTTTTGACTTTTTGTTCGTTTCTGTGTTTCTGGTTCTTTCCTATAAAGGAACTGTTTGATGAATTATGTGTGGGCATGATATAGGAAAGTACGTACCTATAGCTGAGGAAGGTGGGAAGCTAAAAGAATAAGAATATGTCTGTCAAATAATAGGCTTAGGTTCAAAGGTTGGTACTGGTTCATTAACTCCCTGAGCAACATTTTACTGGTGGAGAACCAAAATTATTACTGCTACCACTTGCATATATTTTGATGCATTATTGCATAAATTCTATGTTCTGTCACTTATTAATAGATGACATGTATTAAGGAATAAAGTTGAAAGTTTAAAAGATTTTTAATAAACAAAATATATTTATTTTTAAAAGATCTCAAACTTTTAAGTTAATTCCTTAATAAAGATATAGTCCAATATTGTTAAATAAAATTTGTACATATGATGATGCATCAAATATAAATAATATTTTTAGATTATACATTAAAAAAAAAAAAAGGTTCCAAGGCCCTTTGTGAATTTTTTATGCAAAGCCAGTGCTATATGGCTAGAAAATTAACAATGCTTGTCATGCCAAAATGTATAATATATAGATTTTGTTTTTAGGGTTCAGTTGGTCGATGACATATCTCCGTACGCCAAAAGAGTCATGAAACAAGATGCAGAATATGAGGTTAATTAGATCCTGGAAATTAACATGAGGAAAATCACTTAATTAATAAAATTAAAGTTTTTTTTGTCTCTAAAAATTATAGGAGTATTATACTTAGATATTTTTTTAGTATTTACTCTAATTCTAAGTTGGTTGTAAATCATTAGACATTAAGAAGAGTTGAAGTTGAAGGCTAGACAAGAATTAGATTCTTAGTTTGCAGATTGGGCATCATACCATTAATTGGTAACTTATAAAATTAGAGTATCAAAAGAATCAAACAACTCAATTGATTCATATAATCATCTCTAAGATATGACATTTAATAAATCAAGAATTTTAATCTTAATTTTACATCTTCTTTCTCTATCTCTAGATTATGACATCTTTTTTTTTTTTTTTTAAAGGTCATGGGATTAACGAATTTTGGCATTCCTAGCTTTCTATTAAGTTAAATAGAAGATTTGTCTGCTTTCACCTTTTGTCTTAAAAAGAGTTCAAACCACTTGAAAGAGGAAAAGGGACTAGGCATGGTACCGGAGACAAGAATTAGATTCTTAATTTGCACTTTGGGCATCATGCCATTAATTGGTAATTTGTTAAACTAGAGTAACTAAAGAATTTAATGTAACTCAATTGATTTATATAATCATTTTTAAAAGATAATATTTAATAGATCAAGAATTTAACTCTCGATTCTACAACCCCTTGATCTATCTCTAGATTATCACATCTTTGAAAATAAAAAAAACCAAGAGTAACCTAGCTAACCTTGCCTTTAACAAATAGCTAGGACCAAAAGAATAAACTTTAATTAGTAGAACTATTTCCTTTTAAATTCTTCTTTACTAAATTTTTTTTCTCTCATTAGGACTTGACAAAGAAAGTCATGATAGTGACAACTTGTCCTTTTCTTAATATATAGGTAATTTTGAATTGAGAAGAGATTAATTTATTCAGTATAAAACTTTTTTTGTTGTACATATTTTTTTTAATTATTGATTTTAGTATATTTAAGGGATGTGATTAAAATTTTTTTTTTACTTATCTCTTTTGTTTCTTTGATTTATTAAAATCAATAATTAAAAAAATACAGAAAACTGAAAAAATTTTATACTGAGTAAGTTAATCTCATCTCAAATTGATTACACAAATAAAGATAAATCTTATATGATAAATTACACATTTCTATTAACATTTGAGTTCATGCTTCTAAATTTTTTTTTGTTTAAAGAGAATATAAATTAAAATCGAATTTTTTGAATAAGAAATTTGATGAACTTATCATTGAACTACATAAGCATGATGTAACTGCTAAAAATGTCAAAGTTGAGGATAGTGGTAAGAACCCATTTTGCTCCATGACGAACTTATTAATTATATATAGCATTGTCTTTCTTAAATATTTGAATCTATTCTTTAACCCCCACCAAAAACGTTAGTCATTTCTGTTAAACAGTTTTTTTAAGCAAGATGACAAAGCCTTTTTTATTAACCAATCCACAGATTGAAGTCTGCCCACCTCGACTGTATTGCTTAAGTTCGGCATATTTGTATTTGATAAATAAACTAAAAAGCTTCAACAAATTTGAATTTTCAATGAAGCTATATATACCCGAATTGCCTACACTTCTTCATAGTTTTCCTTTTATTTCACTTTAATAATGTACTACATGCTATGAACCATTAATTGCATTTTTTTCTTAATATCTTGTTCCACTTTATTATTTGTTTGTTGTAAGCTTGCCATTTACAATCATAAATTCATATTTTGTAGATTAACTAGATTGAATCTTACCAAGAATAGAAATAAGTTGAGACATATGGTATTAAGTTCTTCAACAAGAAAATTAAGATTTTTTTTTGAAGTAATTGTAGATTATATTGATGAAAGGTGGTTATTTTATCGGGTAAGGGTTAAAAAAAAAAAAGAAAAGAAAAGGTCTTGGTTAGGGTTGCATGTCAAGTTGGGATCCAACGAAACCCAATGATCCAAGTCACTAATAATTCCAAAGCCAAATCCCAAAAATATAAAGCCTAGTGAATCTTGAATTATTTTTGGTACTTAAGTATTATGAGTTACACAATGAAAAAATAATCATATTTCATATCACTAAATTAGCATGGTGCCAACCCCAAGCATTGGGAACCGACCTCATCTTAAAACATAGATTAATTCTAGAGGTGTAAATGAACAGAGCTTTCAACGAACCGTTTATGAACACGTTCAATTTTTGTTTGTTTATTAAGTTTAACAAACAATCTTGAACAACATTTTTATGTTTATTTGTTAAACGAATCGAACATGAACAGAAGTCTGTTCAATTCGTTTATGTTCGCGAATAAACTCGTTTAATGTTTATAAATAAATTTGATTATAATTTGTTTTAAACATTAAAAGTTGATTATTTTGAGATTTAATATTTTTTATCAATCTACAAATTATCATATAAAATTTATATTATTAAAAATTATATGACATAGATCAAAATAATTTTTAATTTTTTAAAAATATTATTACTAAATAACTTTTTTTAATCCTTAAAAATTGAATAAGAATCAAATAATAACTTTGAGGGAGCGTTTGGTTCATAGAATCGTAGATTTCGGAGGAAAGTGTGATTTTCAAAAAAATGCGATACTCGAGGTTTTCTTTCATTTTCAAGGCATTAAGTGTTCATATTCACTCATTTGGTTGAGAAGAATCCACATATCTTAAATCTTAAATAATTACTATGATTTCCTTAGCATATAAGATAGTAATTTAAATAATCCAATTTTTAATTAAAGAGGATTATTCAATTCATTTTTGGCTAGAAAAATACCTTGAATAATTCCTTACAAAAAATTGAATTAGGTTATTGAAGGCGTTTCTGGCTAAAAATGCTTTAAATAATCCCTTTCAATTTTTTTTATTAGGGATTATTCAAAGCGTTTTTGACTAAAAATACCTTAATAATCCTCTCCAATTTTTTTTGGAGATTATTCAAGGTGTTTTTGCTCAAAAAATGTCTTGAATCCCACCAATTCTTTTTGGGATTATTCATAACGTTTTTTGCCAGAAAAAATAATCCTTTCAACCTTAAACCCTAAATATTAGAGATTATTTAGGGAGTTTTTGGTAAAAACGCCTTGAATAATTACCTCATAAAAATTGAAGTGGATTATTGAAAGCATTTTTGGCTATAAACGCCTTGAATAACCCCATTCAATTTTTTGTAAGGGATTATTCAAGACGTTTCTGACAAAAAATACCTTATATAATCTCTTTTAATTTTTTTACTAAGGGATTATTCAATACATTTTTGACCAAAAACGTCTTGAATAATCCCTTCTCAATTTTTTTTTGGGATTATTCAAAGCATCAAAAACACCTTGAATAATCCTTTAAACCCTAAACCCTAAAAATTAAGAATTATTGAAGGTGTTTTTTGGTTATAAATGCCTTGAATAACCCCATTAAAGTTTAAGGCATTTTTGATCAAAAATGTCTTGAATAATCTTTTAAGTCCTAAACCCTAAAAATTGAGGATTATTCAAGGTATTTTTTTTGCCATAAACGCCTTGAATAACCCAATTAAATTTTTTATGAGGGATTATTCCAAGAGATTATTGAAGGCATTTTTGGCTAGAAAATACCTTGAATAACGCTATTTAATTTTTTGTAAGGGATTATTCAAGGCATTTTCTGACAAAAAATGTTTTCAATAATCTAAAAAAAAAATGGGAGGGGATTATTTAAGGCTTTTTTAGTCAAAAAATACCTTGAGTAACCCCATTCAATTAATTGAATTGAGTTATTTAAATTATCATCATACATGTTTGTTTATGTATATTTGTGAACATATTCGTTTATTATTCACAAACAAACTCATTTAATTTAAACGAACCGAACACAAACGAATGCGAACATCCTATTATTTAAACAAACTAAGCTCAAACATAATTAATAAATTTCTTACCAAACACGAATTGAGCTCGAACAGCTCTAAAAATAAATGAATAAATCATGAACATATGTTCGTTCGTTCATGTTTGGTTCATTTACAGTCCTAATTAATTCCAAACAAATAAAAAATTAAATCATCTTCAGCTGATTTGTTTTTTATCTCTCAACCAAAATTCGATTTTATTAAAAACCCAAAAGGGATAAAGGGACAAAGCTAGCATTAACAATCTTTATTATTAACTATATTCTTAAATAAGTCTATAAACCAAAGGGAAAAAGGAATACAAAACTAATAAGCTTAGAAGCCGAGGCCTAAGAGTAATTAAACCGCCACATCTGACAATGAAAAGTCGACATTAGCACAAATTTTTAATCACCGAAACCAAGTATAATTAGGAGAATTGAATAACCGACCTACCTCCAAAAGGTATAAATTAGGAGAAGTTATAAGGAATTTAGCTTAAAGTTCCCAAAAAAAAAAAAGGTTTGTTATTCCTTCGTTCTTCCATTCGTTTTCTTTGATTATTGCATGTTGGGTTTCTTTCAATATCTTTTACTTTCATCAACAACTATGGGTTTTAGTGTAGTAAAAGGAGTAGCAAGGAATGGTTTAACTATGGAATGAATCAAACTTAAGACTCTTGGCAAGGGTTTTTATGTAGTTGTTCTCTTTAGGAAAACAATATCGGTGTCTGGTTATCGAGCTTTTGCTATGAAATCTTGTCTTTACCAAGATTTCTGATTCTCTTCAAAAGGAACTACTAATCCTCTAAACGATTTTATTGGTTGTGGTAATATTGTTCAATGCTTTGGTGATACGTTGAGCATTGATCAATGGATGATGGTTTACAACTTGTTTCTTGAATATGCTGTGATGTTAATCTTTTGGATTTGATGATCAAGAAATATGGGGGCAAGATATCCGATGTGATGCCAAGTGCTACGCGAGAATGCTGGTTGAAGGTATTCGTGATATTCATGATAGAGGCTATGTTCATTGTGATCTCAAGCCAGAAAATATCCTTGTTTATTCTGATATGTATGGTTCTATTAGAAGTCTAAAGATTGCTGATTTTGGCCCGACTATTGGACCTGGAGAAAAAGATACGACAGAGTTAGAGCCTTGGATGCTAGATTTTCCAGGAACAGCAGTTTACATGCCACCTGAATCTGTTACTGATGGGAAAATCAGAGCTGCGCTATATATATGGTCGCTAGTGTGCATTTTTCGTGAGAAGATCACCGGGAAACTACCATGGGAATAGAAGAACCTGAACAATTATTTAAAGATCAAGATTGGATTTTCCAGATATCCGACCAAAAAAAACCCGAAACCACGTCAAGCACGGGGAAAGATTTCTTGATGAAGTGTTTCAAAAGGATCCTAGTAAAAGGTGGACTCTTAATATGCTGTTAAGCCATCCTTTTCTCCTTCCAGATAGCCCTTCATTGCCATCTCTTACAAAATCTCTTCACCATGTTCAAGTCGATGGCTGTCTTCCTACTCCTTCACTGTTCAAATCAACATTTCATTTTGCTATATAATCGTATTAATTTTTTATTTAACTAGTGTTACTTGTCTTGTGCGAAGCCATCAGAGAACTTAACCAGGCCAGCTTCTGTTAAATATCTTCAACTTCTAGATTATTTTTTTTCCAGCGCATAGAACTTAACCAACAATTTTGAAGATCCTAATAAAACATTCTAACAGAGAAATCAATGTAATGAACAAGGTTCACAGCTTATGGAATAGGCACCAGTCAGTGGGGGAGAAGCACCAGTTATTGGTGAATTGTTCTGCTTATAATTTCTGCAGTGATTATATCTATTTATCATTTGTTACCTGCAAACAAAAAAGATTTTACAAAAGATTGTTATGGTAGGAATAGTTGAATAAGTTTGATTATATTTTATGTCATGGTTAGTTTATGGGCTTGGGCAAATTGCAAATGATATGGATTAGATTAAATGAAGATGGGCTTTGTGAAATTGACTTGGGTCAAGGCTTAGAGAAGCGTCCATGAATCATAGTTTGTCGGCCTATTCAGCCTCCATTTAAAAATTGAAGTCAGAGCTTGAATGCTTGATCTTATTTGTTTACTTATTATTTTATTATTAAAAATAATATAATAGTATTTTAAAATTAAAATTATATAAAATATATATTACCATCAATCTAATAATTTAATCGAGTTGGATCAAACTCAACTCGAACACAAAACATCTTGGCCAAACTCAACTTGAATTGGATTTTATCGACAAGTTTAAATGAGTAACTCGGGCTCGGACACTTCTGTAAATCCTGTCATTTTACTTGTAATAGTGAAGATAGACAGCAGTTTAGGCTCTTGTATTTAATTAATAAAACCTTTTTTATCTTTATCTTTTTAAAGTTCTACCTTCTTTACTTTTAAGTTCTATATACTGATTATGAAGAAAATATCAATTTGTACAATGATATTCATTAGTTATTCACTTCAAAATACCTTTTGTTAATGACCAAAAATAATATATATTTACTTATGGAAAGAAAAAAAATTGCATTTCTTTTTCGTTTTCCCCCTTCTACATTAATTATATATAATATAAATAATTAGGAAATATAGATAAATAAAATACGGCAAAAGATTTTAAAATAAAATTGAGGGATCTTGTTAGGTTAAGAATTTAAGATTTCTCAAAACCTTAATCAACATTGTCAAGCAATACTACAAGAGCAAATTTTTAATTTGACCCAATCTTTTCTAAGACTTAGATTAGTATTATTTGTTGAAATAGCTTTTGCATTCAATAGTTGCTTTTAATTTAAACTCAATGCTAAGTAACCAAAAAAAAAAAAAAGATTTTTAAGTTTAAAGATTGATTTCGTAATCCAAATCAAAAAGCTATTCAAGTTGGGTTTTTACATTAAAAAATATTTTTGAGATAAAAACTACTATATTATCCTATATTATAATATTTTATTATTTTATTATTTTATGTATGTACATTTCAATTACTCACTGCATCTTTTTACAGTAATACTAAATACTTAAAATTTTTAACTAAATTTTTTATCATATTTTTTAAATGTATTTTTTATCTTAATTTTTTTTAACCACAATAACTATTAAACTAACGAATTTTTTTTTTCTGTTTAGCATTGATTTGAATTTCATAATTCTATCTCACTGCAAATTCTATTTTAGTCTTGCCCTCACGCATGAATCACGAATGGATAATATAAAAAAAAAAAAAAATCCAATGGGGCTTAACGGAACCTAAAGCCAACTTTATATAGCAGATAGGTTGTTCCACAGTTCTACCTCTTCAATTAAAAAGAAGAAAATCAAGCAACTTTCTTGCAACAAAATACCATTTCTCCTTCCAACCTTCATTTTTTTTTTTTTGACTTAACAGATTAGTTTCGGTTGCAATTAAACCATATCTATATCACTTGTAATCCCTCAACTTTGATTCAAATTTTATTTTGATCCCTAATTTTTAAAATTTTTTATTAAATCTCTTATTACCCAATATTGTCCTACTTAAGTCTTTTCATTTATAAAAACTTATAAATTGACAATAAATGTCACCTAACACCATATAATAACATTAGTTGCCACTCACATGATAAAGAGGGATAAAAATAGTATTTCTCAAAATTTAGAAAATAATGATGAAACTATCTCAAAATACGATATATTTCATACATATCTTATAAAAATATTAAATTTAAATTTAAATTTAAATCTATATAATTTTTTTTGTTGTAATATAACTTATTAGTTAGATATTATGTTTTAAATAAAAAATAGATATTCAAAATTTAAAATTAAGTTAAAAATTTCAAATTCATTTTTTTTTGAATTCAATACATTTTAAAAACCAAAGAAGTTATTTTTTTTATTAAAAATATTATTTTACTCATAAATCAAAATAACAATATTATTTTCTATCTATTAAATTTTATTTTTTAAAATATGAAATATCTTTTATTTTTCCTTTTAAATATATTTCATAATATATGTTTTATAAAAAGAAAAAATAAAAATATTTTTAACAAAAATAGATTCAAATTAGATTTTTGGATAGAAAATAAATATTTGAATATATTAGTAAATCTATTTTTTAAAATGATATGGTAATTTTTACATAATATTTTAAAACAAAAATAGTTTCTATTTAATTTTTTAAATCAATATAAAAAATTTTACTTAATTTTTTAAAAGATATGTATTTTTTTAAAAAAATATTTTTAAAAATTTAACTTAATTATAATTTTTTAAAATAAATCTTATCATAATAAAAATTAAAAAGTATTTTAAATTATAATATTTTATAAAATGTATTTGAAATATATAAAAATAAAAATTTTCTTTAATTAGTTTTTATTTTTTTATAAAATATATTTGAAAAATATATATTTAATATTTTAAAAAATATATTTTTTGAATAGAAAATAATATTTATTAATTATGATTTATAAGTAAAATAATATTTTTAATAGAATTTTTTTGTTTTTAAAATGGAATTGAATTTTTAAAAAAATTGAAATTTTAACTTAATTTTAATTTTAAAAATCTATTTTTTATTAAAAATATATATAACTAATAAATTATATTACAACAAAAACTATAAAAATATAAAAAATATAATTTAATATTTAATAAAATATATATGAAATATATAAAATTTTGAAATAATTTCATTTTTAGTCTTTAAACCTTGAGAGAATTTTATTTTGGTCCCTCATTTATCAGAAAGATGCCAACTGGCACCATCATGTGACACCAACTAACATTTACTATCAATTTAGGTAGTTGCATGGATGAAAAGCCTAAAATATGATAATCTTAAGCAAATGATGATTTGATTATAATTTTTGTAAAGATTAGGAACTAAAATAAAATTTAGGTCAAAATTTAAAAATTACAAGTGCTATTAACCTTATATATATGTATATGTATAGATGAATATATGTATACATATATGTCTATATATATGTATATACATATATTCATATATACATATATATATATATATATCTATATTCATATACATCAACCTAAAGGCATTCCTATGATTTAAAAAAAAATTGTACATGTGATGATCCTTTAGTCTTAAAATGAAGTATAGGAAGGTAACACTTTTTTCGACTAATAAATAATCTACATATTTGTGGCTATTTTTTTTTTTTTGGTCTAGAAAAGAGTTATGCATAAATTTTAAAACTATTCGATACATTATCATCCCATTAGTTTCAGCTAATAAAAGAAAGAGTACACAATCAGGTGGAATAGAAAAACAATAAAAAATGATAGGGGTAAGATCATTTGAAGAGTTCAACAAAGTTGCATCACTTCCTCTTCTAGCTAGGCATCTGCACTCTTATTTCTTTCACGGAAAACATGCCTCACCATAGTTTATTGGAAGCTTATTAACATCATCTTGTAATCACAAACTAATATGTTAAGATAAAGGTTGGTATATGTAGACACCTTAATTTATCCGGGCTTAGGCTCATTAGGCCTAGTTCAATCAGGGTTGGGCCTAAGCCCATTGGGCTTAGCTCAGATATGGTCCAAATGGGATAAATTAGTCTATTTTATTTGTATTTTTGTTTTTTATTTTTTATTTTTTATTTTTTATTATTTTTTTCGGTTAACTGTTTTAAAATTTTATCTTTATTATTACGTTTTTTATATTTTATTTTTATTCTAGAAGATTAAAAAAAAAGGGAATTTACCGTGAATGGTGGCTGGTAGGATTGGAGTGGAATTCAATTTATTTTCTGCTAATCCTATTCAAAGAGGGAATTAGGGTCAATCAAAAACTCTTGTGATTGAACCCTATAAATAGCCTATGAATCATACACAGAAACATACGGGAAATACACGAAACAGAGAGAAAATAGAAGCAAAAGGTGTTTAGAAAGGCATAGGTAAATTTTAGAAATTTTAGAATTTTTTTCTGGAATTTTTAAGCAAATTTCTAATTTCTAGATTCTGGCAAACTTTTTCAGCGAAACTTGAATATTTTGGCATGTTCTTACAGATTTCGACATGTTTTTTCAAAATCAGATGAAAATTCAATCAGATTCTGGGTTCTGTTAGAGAGAGAGGGAAAGAAAAAAGAGGAAGAGAGAGAGAAGGAAGGGAGGTGTCTGAAGGGAAAACAAGATTTTTGCCTTTTATACTTGCGCAAGACGATGTCGTTTTGGCATTAAAAATCCCAGAGGATCCACGAGTTTTGCCATCAGACGACCCGACTTGAGAGCCAACCC